ATTATTTATAAATATTTATATTAAGATTATAAATATTTGTTGATTGAATTAGTATAAAAGTATACTTGCCTAACGTCTATTGAATCAGCAACATGTAATGAGTGTTAAATAATTAAGTATATTTATCAAATAAAAACTGAGTAAATATTAATTTTCGGAATTTAGTTATAGGTGAATAAGTGATTTTAATTAATATTTTCTTGTTGATATTATTTTATTGTTATTTATAGTGTCACTTATTCAGTCATATGTCATCTATTGAGTTTAGTTGATATACTTTGAGACGTGTATTGATGGCAATTAATTAAAACTTCATATTAGTTCTTAATAGATACTTCCATGTTTTTAGAAACGATAATAATACTGAAACTTCGATGTTGTTAAATCTTTATCCTAAAAACATCTGTATCTGTCGTCTTACGGAGTAATAATTTATTTTCTATTAGGCCATTTATCTTTTTTATTTTACTTTTTTTTTCTTTCTTTTTTGTATGTACACTTCCATTTGATGATAAATGTGAATGTAGGTCACTTTTAAAATGTTATATTAAATCTCGGGCGCTAGAATGCAAAAATAATTTAAAATCAACAAACATCCAGGATTTCAATGAGAAAAAATTGATGTTTCAATAACAATAGAGTATATTTCTTTTTTCATCCATATCCCAGGTTCAGAGATACCATATCATATTTTATTGCTTTCTTCTCTTGTACGAAAAATACATTTCTCAATTGAACTAAACATTTTTATTGCTTCAAAATAAATTTATTGTCAACATTATACTTATAAACAAAAATTAAGTTTCTTAAAAGATTCCAGTTGCGTGGAATAACCATATATGGAGTAACCATACACAATTGCTTTATTAAAAAAAATATTTCGGTTGGGTTTTTTTTTTTTCCTCTTGGATTTTCAATCTTTTTTTTTTATTTTAATTTAATATGATCAGGAGAAATATAATAATAGAGAAAGGCGTACATAATAATTGAAAAAATCAATTGTTATAAAAAATAAATATATACAAGTAAATTTTAACTAACTTTTATACACTTGAAAAAAACTACGAAAATAAAATGGATCACAATTTTACCTGGTGACATCTTATAAGTAATATGATCTGAAACTTTCCCATTATCTTCGTGATAAAATAGAAAATAACTTTTCTACTGAACGATGAGAAATAAAAAGTAAATTGTATGAACTCTCCCAATGATGAAGTAGGCCGGATGGGAACCCTATGAGAGGGTGCTATAATAATAGGAGATGATGCAGAAGATAATGAAAAAGGTGCATGTGAAACGTAGAAGGTAGATGGAACGAAAAATGCTTCGACCCTTCACGGGAAGATTAAAGAAGTAGACTTAAATGCAGAAGGTGATGAAGCAACGATACTAGTTGGTGCATTAAGATGCGTCTTAGCTATCGAATAAGAACTAATGAGATAAGTGAGTGGCTCTAATAGTTATATACCAGTTATAACTGGTGTGCTATACAAGTTAAGATTCTTGGGTACCTTTTGTCTAACAATGGGATTTTTATGCACTGATGGATTCGGAATATATGCTGGAGATAGTCTTGTTTTTGGACTTGGATATTTTTCGGTACTATCTATTCTTGGTTCAATATTGAAATGATGGTGATTGTTTCGATGGTGAGAAACCGGCTTACTGTAGTCGGTTTGAATTAAAGAATTTTCAGGAAATTAAATATCTGAAACTCGAGGTCTTCTTTTCTTCCTGGAACTCTTTGATTTGCCTAATCCAGTTCTAGAGCGATGGCTTCGTGGGCTAATGGTCGATCCTTTGGAATCGCCTTCTACCTCTCTGTCCGACGACAGAATAGATGGCTGTGAAGTAACAGTCGCTGGGTCTTGTGTTGTCTTTTCAGCGGATGCATCATCAGGAGTTGTTGTTGTGTCTGGCTCGCTATATTCATCTTTCTGTGTATCAGTTGCCACGACAATTGGGTTGCCTGTTCAGAAAAAGCATTAATATTGTTCAATATGCATCTAGTTCTGTGTTTTTGAGAAAGCGATATCTGTAGAAATATTACCTGAGTTGGTGGGTGATGTTCCTTGTTTCTTTCCTGTTTCCTCAGATGAAGAAGACGAGGACGAAGATGAAGACGAGGAAGAGGAGGAGGAGGAGGAAGAGGAAGAGGAAGAGGACGTGGAGGAGGAAGAGGATGAGGATCGGGCTATTGAAGCTTGCACAATGAGGATAACCATAAATATCGTTAATAACTTCATTGTACTTCTGTTGATAACCGAATGAAACAAATATAGCGCCACCTGTAATATATCTGCCTACTGTTTACCTTAAGGAACAACGCACCTGAGCTAATAGCACATCGTAAATGCAACTTCTTATAAAATATTATTTTGAAGTAATGCTCTGCAAACGGGTATCTTGCGATTACTCCTATAAAGACTAATCGACATTGGATACATTCTTCACCGAGCAAATTTCGTTTGAATAATATTCAAAATTAATACTCAAAATCAGGTTCATTAGAGTGTAGGTTGGCATAGTGGTTGAAGACCGTATGCCCATGTATGTATGTAGTATCTTAGAAACTGGAAAAGGTGTTGACATCCTTTGACATAGGGTCCTCTCAGGAATAGCTTGTTCCTTGGAAGTAAGTCGTGGCATGGAAGTAGCAGTGTCGGTTTATAATAGTATCCGTAGTAATACTGCTCATAGTGGTAAAGTTTTAACCGACTATGTATGAATTGCTATGCTACATGTTTATTTTCATGAAAAGCGTTAAAGCTTGTAAAAATACTGTCGAATTTTATCACAATAATATCTGTATTAGTAATAGAAATTGTTGTTATTATTCGAGCGATAAATTCTTATTTTATGAAATAATCGCAAACAATATTACAATAAAATTATTGCTTATTGCTATGACAAAACTGAAACTATAAAAATTAAAAAAACTACTATTTAAAAACAAATTAAATCAATTATTCCTTATAAAATACTCCATTTGCAATTTCATTATAAAATATGTGTAATTATAAGAATTTCAATAAAATTTGTGTTACCGTAATTAGACTCAACTGAATTCATATTTAATTGCCTTTAGTTATTATCAATATAATGAAACTAAATAAATTACTTTATTAACTATACTATATGGTTAAACCTAAGCCCGGAATTTCCGCTTCAATCGCAAGATTGTTTTCTTTATAATTTTTTTTTTTATTGTATTACCTTTGCAATCGAAATGAAAATTAAATTTCAAGCTAAATTCAAGATTTTACTTTGCAATATAATAATAAAAATTAATAATAATAATAAAAATTAATATTATAATTTTTGTAGAATATAAAAATTTAAAAAATATTTCTGTCCACTTTTCTTCCTACACACTTACAGCTTTTATCCAACAAATTTTTTTTTTTGTATTTTTAGATTTGGTGTCAAAGTAACATATTACATCAGGATGGTCCAATGTTACAAAAAGGTGGCTATTTTGAGATTTCATATGCCATTATCTCTCCTATACTAAAGGAGAAGGAGGAAAAATATTTTAAAAATAGGATTCATTATACTAAACATTAAAATGTCTATCATTCTCTTAACTATATTGCCGCTAACGACATTGTTGTTTCCTTTTTTTTATATATACATATTCGTTGGGTTTCTTTTATATATACATATTTCTTGAGTCTATTAAATCGGAAACCCTTTTCATCCTAATGATGAAGGGTACTAACTACAATTATCACTTCATTATCTTACTGTTGATTACCTATCCTTTCATATCGTTCTTTTCAAAAATCCTTTCTTATCCGTACTACCTAGTTTAAGATTTATTCTCATATTCACCTGTATTGTTTATATATAAATTTATTTATATTTTCTCAGCAAAAACAGCTCGTTTGGCGATACTTAAGGTCATAATTTTTTGAAAAATCCTTACGGCTATAATTACTTTAGAACACTAATTCACGAAAAATAAGAAAATGATTGCACATATAGTATGATGTTCTTACTTACTATCGTAATATAACACGTTGTTTAAGGTATCTGCTTAAGGTAAAACATCGCAACTTACCAACAACTTGACTGTATTTAGCTGAAGAAATCCAATCCACAAAAGATGCAAAGTTGAGTTGGAGGTTTTTCGATTGGTATTAGTTTTTATATATCGTTTTATATTGTTTCTTTTAACTATCCTTTAATAATATATTTTTTTCTACCATTATCATAATATTGTTTTAGTAAATATTTTACAATATTGAAACGACAAGAAACCGCTCGACTTTTCTGACTACTACCAGCACTTGCTAGACAAGCGCTCTAAGCTTTCAATCAATTACAAAGGACTCGTAAATATTAAAATAATAATACCTATCTGGAATTACGGAATTGAGCTTTGGGGCTGAAGTAAACGATCGAATTCAATCCTTACAATACAAAATCCTCAACACTCCTTATTTTGTCACAAATAAAATCATCCATAACTACCTTAACATTCCATATTTTTTTCGATTTGGCCAAATCCAAATACCTATCCTTCAATAAAAAACTTCAGAAGCATCCTAACCCTCATGTTTCAAACCTTGCTTTCTCCTCAATCTCTGATAACCCTCTTAGCCGTCTGAAAAGAAGGTGGCCTCCTGATCTTCTTGTGTAAATTTATTATTTGAGTGCTATCAGTGGGTATTTTTTTAGCAAGCGTTTTCATGTTATTATATTCCTGAGTGCTCATCGAATAGGTGTTTTGTTTTTTAATACAGTTGTATATATCATGAGTGAATAAAAAATAAATAAATATTTACCATTTTAATCTTCTTCTTTTTTTTAGAAGCTCCCTCTATTACTAAACACTGAGTTAATAATTAACACTTACCTGAATCTTAATCTGAATTCTTCTGCTAGACCGTATTGAGTATCGTCTCAGCTTAGTAAATAGCCGTTATGGATTTTTAGAAGTAAACGAATTTGATTGGAGGACTCCCAGGATGAGAGTAAATATTTTACTAAAATAATTACAATTAATTTATTAAAATTATTAACTTCTACAAATATAATTAACATAATCCTTACAATTATAATTTTAATAAAATTAGGAGCTGCCCCATTCCATAAATGAATACCTGATATAATATTTAAGACACCGGCGCATCTACGGGGGGGACTTTCGGGCTGAAGCCCTCCCCCCCCAAAATGGAAAAATCTAACCATGTTTTATGGGAAAAAAATTTAAAAAATACCTCTTAAAGTATTATTTTTCGTGTAATTACATTTAAAAGTACTTGAGGAATAACTTAAACACCATTTCATATAGGTAGTTAGTTTCTGTCTGTTTCTCCAAAGTAATTATCGTTATTTTTATGAAAAAAAAAGGTTTCGGGCTGAAGCCCCCCCCCAAAATTAAATCCTGGATCCGCTAGTGATCTAAGATAAGATGAATAAAATGTATAATTTTAATAACATGACAAAAAATAGCCCCTTTCTTAATAATTTAACATTTATTAATCCAGGATTTAGTAATTTTATGGCCACAACGCCTCAATTGGATAATTTGTTTTTAAGTAATTTTAATTGTATTTACAAGTATAATATGAATCAAATATTTATTTCCCACCTAATTGCCCTTTTATTTGGAAAACTGCAATATTTTTTATTGAAATTCACATTTGCTCTTAGTTATCCTTCCAATGTTTTCATTCAGAGAGATGTTAAAGTAGAGCGGAAACGGATAAAAACTTATTCAGATCAAACTCCTTTTATAAAGTATAATTTAACATAAAATCATTAATTCTAAGGGGAAGAGGTTGGATTCTTAAGGTAAAGATGCTGTGATATACAAGCATTTTATATTTGAAAACATATATTCTGAATTCATAGATCCCGAAACTTGGTATATTTAATGATATAACAAATATTTATTTATGAAACATTGAAAACATTTAGCTATAGCATATGTTTCCAAACTTTCTTCGTATGTTTGACGATTTCCACATTTCAAACCAAGCTTTGAGGAAAATCATAATCTTACGCCTTGTATAACATATATAAAAAATAATACAAATTTTTTAAATTATTGAATATTGCAACATATCAAAAATATTTGTGCACTGCAGAAAATATAATTACAAATGTTTGTAGTAAAAATCATATTTTTATTTATTACAATACAAGATAACTTTTTGTTGTTACATTTAAAAAACCTCAATTTGCCATGTGAAAAATAATCTTGAGATGAGAAAATGTAATCACAATTTTCGGAATAATATTATAATATAGGATTAATAATTATATATTATAGGATCAGTGAAATTCATAGAAATATACAGTTAATATTAAAGAACATTGATGGCCACTTTGGAATCTTTTTTCTGGCACAGATACGATATGAACGTGGATCCATTTTCGAATGGTTTTCAACACTTTTTAAATAGTTAATTAAATCTGTAAAATAAACCATCGATCCCAATAATTATGTGAGGAAGGTTCTATAATGAAAATACTTTAAACCAATTTATAATCTTATGATAGATCATTATTATTTTCCTCAGAGGATGAATTGGAGAATTGTTGAAATCCCCGATGAACTCAATTTATTATTATAATTCATCGTTCGACACGAACAGTTATTATTATTGCATCTGAATTAAATACCTTTGGTTCCCTTGAGAGCTAGAGGATAACGACTACTAATCTTACATACAATGGAAATTGCTTGGATTGCTACGACAATTAAACAGGTGACTGCGAATACTTAAATTTAGAAACTGGAGAATAGGAACCATGTGATGTAACCGAAGCTCTTGGTTATCTGTAGTAAGGCAAAGGTGCCGGGCTTTTAACAGGGAATAATCTCTTAAAATCCTCCTCACTATTACTTGCAACTGATCCATGTTTAGGTTGGTTACTATAACTTTGAACAGGGATGGATGGAGGATTTAAAGAAACCGAATAGGCACCAGATGAATATTTGTCTTCGAATTTCCTGATTAAGGAAATGATGTCTTCTTCAGAGAGCTGCAAAGGCATATATCCAGAGGGCTGGAAAGAAACCCCTTGAGGGGCATTAAACTGTGTAGGTTGAAATTGTTCCTGAGGTATATGAGAGGGGACATAAGATACAATATGACTTAGAGTCCCGTAGCTTTGAGGAGGCTGGTTTAAATAAGGTAAATATTGGGGTTGGCCGAAATAAGCATTAGAATTCGCATACATTGGTGCAAATGGAACCCGACCATAGTTAATCAAGGGAATGTTGTGGACCTGATGTAAATTACTACTTTGTGGTTGTTCTTGAGGCATCAGGAAACTTTGATAATGAATGGGATACATTTCTTGAGGTATGTAAGAATGTAAGTAATATGGATATTCTTTCTGTGGGATCACGGGTTGTGCTCGATCTTCTTGGTCGTAGAAGGAAGAAGGATTGTAGGGAAGAGGGATATTCTTAAGAACGTAATCAAATGATGGAGGCGATTCAAGTTTCTGTTTAGCTGAAGGCACTTTGTGTTGCAGTTGAGCTGAAGGCACTTTGTGTTGCAGTTGAGCTGAAGGCACTTTGCGTTGCAGTTGAGCTGAAGGCACGTTGTGTTCCTGTTGAGCTGAGGGCAATTTATATTGTGAAACTGAAGACTGCGTAGAAAAACCTCCAAGGTTATCATAAGAGGGATCCAATAAGTCTATTTTCTTATTTAAAGAATTCATAACTGGTGGTTTGATGATTCCAGGGACTGGTTTTGGTGGAGTGTTACTCGTGGTTGTTGGAGGCCATTTTTCCAAGTACGATGGAGGAGAGTTCTCGTCGTCTGAAGAAGCGGGAGATGGTGCTTCCGAGTCGGGCTCCTTTAACACGCTAGCAATCAATTCATCCGTGATTTCTTCATTTGAAGAAGATGTTTCATTATTAGTTTGTGATTGTTTTTCTGTCTGCGTTGGATATAGCTTCTCTATATTTCTAATGAAATCTTTAATTACGGCCGTTTCTGTGGAAAAAAAAAATTAACATGTGTTAATTGAGTATATCATTTCAAAAGTTTGTAATTGTAACATTTATGCTCTTACCGTAGTTTTCTGTTGTCGTGGTTGTGGATTTTATCGGAAGGATGTCTTTGTTCGGAATGCATTCTGACAAGGCCGTCAAGCTTAATAGCACTATTAATATATTCATGGTAACGTCAAACAACGTTTAGCTATTTCCGTATCACCTAAAAAAAAAAAAACCTTAATTGTAATAAATATTTGTTAAAAAAATTATAATTCATTTTGAGAATCCGTTTAAACGAAGTATTTACACATTTTAATACTTTTTTTAATTATGTGAATTTATTTTTGGTAAATAATAATAAATTTATTTATTGAGCAATTTTACAAATGCCTTATGGCATATTTTGTAAATGTGATGTTCGTTTGCGAACCTCCTCTCCGGGATTAGCGTGAATGCGGGATTATTGGAGAAGCCTCCCAGTGAAGGCACTCCTAACGTGACTTAATGCAGCAGGTCCCTGCTCCAGAGGCGTTTGAGTCTCCTTCGTGGGTTCTGTGGTAGTGTGTCTGTTAGTAATGTTTGTACAAGTGGATTAGGATGTCCAGCTAAGGAGTCATGAAAATTTTTGTAATATTTTTTAATTACATCAGTCACTTGTGGTGTTTGTAGGTCTTTATGAAGTGATTTATTGGTTATGTAGAAGGGACAATGAGTGATATACCGGAGAAACTTAGATTGGAAAATTTGAATAGTCTGTAAGTGTGTTTTTTTGCATGAGCCCCACACCTGAGAGGCATACGTCCATATTGGTCTGAGTAGCATGTTGTATATAGTAATTTTGTTAGAAAGTGATAGTTTGTTTTTATGGTGTAGCATTCGTCTTAGTAGTGACAATCGATGGTTCAATCTCTTTTTTAATGTAGTCACGTGTGATTTCTAGGTCAGTCGTCTGTCCATTGTGAGTCCTAGATATTTTGTCTCTGTATGATTTGGCAAAGGGGTGTTGTAAAGTGTCAGTGGAGGGCAGTCCGAACGTTTAAGTGTAAATGTAACCTGATTTGATTTTTGAATGTTAATTTTTATGCGCCATTTATCAAGCCAGTCTTGTAGAAGATTTAAATGAATCTGTGCTTTCTGACATGCTGTGATCGGATTATAATCAGTCGAAAGTATGACAGTGTCGTCTGCGTAAGTCGCGAGTAATGTGTGATGTCTGTGGAATATCAGAAGAGTAAATTGAGTACAGAACCGGACCTAAAATACTGCCCTGCGGTACTCCCGCGCCGATTCGACAATAGTCTGAGTATTTACCATCCTGGTTAACAATATAAAATCTATCCTCAAGATACGATCTGATGATTAAATAGTATGTATGCGGAAAGATCGGTTTAATTTTACAAAGTAGACCATCATGCCACACTTTATCAAAGGCCTGTGAGATGTCTAAGAAAGCTGTTGTGCAAAATTCCTTCTTTTCCAATGCCACAGCAATTGTATCAACCACTCTATGACATTGTTGTATGGTAGAGTGTGCAGGTCTAAATCCAAATTGGTGATTAGGAATAACATTGTCTAAAAATGGATAGAGCCGTTTTAATAATAATTTTTCAAATATTTTGGAAAATAATGGTAAAAGACTGATAGGCCTATAAGACGTGACTTGGTCAGAAGGTTTGCTTGGTTTCGGTATCATTTTTATGATTGAAAATTTCTATACTAGAGGAAAGTAAGTAAGTCGAAGGATAGAATTGTAAATAGCTGTCAGGAAGATTAATGCTTTTTTGGGTAGTAGTCGTACAATTTTAGGTGTGATTAGGTCAAAACCAGGAGATTTTCTGCGAGGTAATTTTTTAATACAAAATTCTGTGTCCGAAGGAGTTATAGGGGGAGGAGGTAGAGAAAGGGGAAGAGGAGAAATAAGGATTTGTTGGACGTCTGAGCAATGCTGTTGGTCAGGCAAGTCTTCATGTGGATGAAATACGTCTGTAAGATGAGTAGCAAATAAGTCTGCTTTTTCTTTATCGCTTCTAGCCCATGTGAATTTATAGTGCTTATTCCAAACACCAGTTGTTAACAGACATTACTTGTCAAACAATAGAAAGATTATCAAATGCAACTCGCAAAAATAAATTTACTTTTCTAAATTTCTCAAAAGATTTTTAAATATACTTTATATAAATTAATATATTAACATAAATGAGCAAACATTAATTGTTATGATGTAACTAGAAGATAGTAAAATACTGAGCGAGTCATAAGTCTTTATCTAAACAAAATTTTATTTAACTATAAATGTGTTCAACTGCCTGAATGCAATTCACATTTAAGTTTAGGATGAAAAAATATTATAATCTAAAATATTTTTAAAAATATATTAATACCATAGTCTCTGCAATATTAAAAATAATTTGTATACATCGCTCGTTTGCCAGATCATTATTCAAAATTCGAGATTTTTTACAATTCACATTTGTGTTCAATACTTTTTTTTTAAGTTTCTTGAAACTATAAAAAATATACTACCCAACTTAATTGACTCACTCGCCTCCAAGGTTTTATTTCTTATTCTTTTTATTACACAATCATTCCTATTTCTAGTACCTACTTTTTTAATTCTCAAAAATATTTATAGGAAAGAAAAACTGTAAAATGGATAAACTTCCCCCCACCCCTCTTCACCATCTTCCTTGAAGCTTTGAGTGATTTGAACTTCTATCAAGCAATCTGACTTTTATCTAGCAATCCAGCTAGATAAAAGTCAAAATTTCGATAGTGAATATTTTTGTGGCAAATTATATAATACGTAAGTTCGTAAGTTACTGTAGTTGGAAAAGAAGAATAAATCGAAATAAAAAGAAACAAGATGTGGATATATGATTATAAACTCTGAGAATTGAGCGCCAATTGCTCAATGCGTTGTAAGTTAGCAAACGTTCAACTACTGTACGTAAATATTGAATTTAAATAATTAGCTGATTTAAGCTTTTGATTTATTATTTTGAATAATGAACCATTGTGATCGTCCAAAAAATTCAAAACTTACTCCCCCCCCTCAAAATTTGAGATTTTACGTTTCAGGATACGTAGAATTAAAAAAAAACGAATAAACAGTTTTTTGTCCGTCCGCAGTCCGCGCATTTTCTCCGAAACTACTGGACCGATATTTTTCAAATTTGGATATAAAATCAGATGCCACTTCAGAATGATCCTCCTTCATCCACATTACTATCTCCCTTTTACTTTCAAAATAGCGGCCGAAAAACCTGCGTTGCTATAGACTGTAGCGCCTAAACGAATGTACCGATTTCAATGAAACTTCGTAATTTTCTGTACGCCCTTTAAATTTATCTATATAACATACTTCAACGAAAAGAAGCTGGAAAAAATGTTACGAGGGATGGTAACATTAATTCCGAATAACTCAAAAATTATACACTTTTCTATCGATATTATATTATATTATTTTATTATGGTTTTTTAAAATTTTACGAGATTTCTTAAAAAGAAATAGTTAAAATCGGACAATTAGGAGCAAAGATATGGTCTCTAGGTTTTTTTTTTTTTTTTTTTTTGTTCTACTGCAAAGGTTATATCCTTTGTTTTGGTTATTGAAACCAATAATGAAGTAATGCTAGTTTTTAAGCATATCACTAATGATTAATAAAAGAGTTTAGTCCCATAATTGGGATCACCTTATATTTATTTATTTTTCTTTGTATCTAGGAAGGTAATGTTAATTTAGATGTATAATTGTTTGGAAATAATAAACCATTGTGAAATACTTTGCAGCGTTTTAAATATGTATTCCATTTCAAAAAGTGAGAGCCTAACAATATTATTATCAATATAATGAAAGTTTCACTATTGTTCTGAGGTAAAATTAATTTATTCTTCTCTTTTAACTGGAACAGAGAACTAGATTAGATTTATTATTTAAAAATGATGTGGCTTACGTGGAATCGTACTTAAATATTAAACTAATTATAGTTTCACCATAGAATATTGTATACATATTTAATACCTTTCCTTGTTTTTTCTGGCTTTGGTAATAAACAAATTTTCAATATTTCTGTTCCAAAAAATTTAGTGTCAAGAAGCATCCTTTTAGAGAGCTCGTTTAAATACTGCAGTGTCATTTATAGGACTACAATTTTTTTTTCATTACATGCTCACGGGATTATGAGGTCTCAATGCAGAGACCAAAAAGTTTGAAAACCCCGGATTTAAGTTAAAGTTTTTAATTACTATATACATATTTCCAGAATGCTTTAGAAAATGTCAAGCATTAAATTCATCGACATTTAGATTCTTTTTACAAAATTTGATACGGATCAATCATAATTAAACCACTTAATGGGCCGAATATACATTTTTTTTTTACTGGACATATAGAAATTTCAACTGTCGATTTACTTTTTTTGAAGTTCAGGCTGGTAAACAGAGGAATTTTGAGTGTGATTGTCTTAAAGCGACACAATGGCCAATTGCGAATCAAGCTATAAAAAAAGTCTAGAAAGCATTAAAAAAAAAATTCTTATTTAGAATAAACGGTTATCATTGAAAAAAAACTTCATTGAATGATTTTGAAACCATATTGGTCTAGAACCACTATTTTTTTTTTTATTTCAACGAAAAAACGAAATATAAAATATTACTATAATGAAATTTCGCTTATCATTGATTAATACATAATTCTTTGATTTCTTTTCCATTGAATGGTATTATGAATTATCAATCTAGTTTTTTTTCTTTTTTTTTTTTTTTTGTAGTGACCGGTAAAATCTAATGTACGATTTTTTTTCAGATCATAGTGCAATTTTTCTTTATTTCTTAAAAATAATTAGACAAAATTATTAACTTTTCATGATATCGTTGTATTTGAATACAAGTTTTACAATCAATGTGACAAGATTCTGGAGTTCAATGGTTGCCATGAACTAAAAAAAAAAAGTGTAAAGATAACAGCCTATCTAGGTACATTAATTCTTTTTTTAAAACGGTAAAAATACTTGAACTTCTTTTTATAGCTTGTTATTGAATTATTTTTTAACCATTTTTTCTGAAACCAATATTTTTTTTATAATGATGTAGAGATGGTTGACCGTGATATAATATGAGAAGGAGTTGATCGGGGCGTTTGGTCAAATAAATACTAAATTATAAAAATAGTATTATTAATTTATCATGCCGACGTATCGACACACCTTGCAGGTCTATAATTTAGT